CATCAATATATTCCAGTTTATGTACCAAAAAGTTAACACGAATCTACTCAATGTAGGGAGTTAATTTTTTTTTTCAGTTTTTCAAAAACTTCAATATTTCACCAAGTATTTAAATTTTACAACCACGGTTTCTTGTATGTAATTAATCTTAAAAAGGATTTATTGGCTTCTAAAATAATCTTTTACATATATCTAATGAGCTGAACTACTTAAAAAAAACTTTTTGTTGATGTTTTATGGACTTCATATCGTGCATCCTGATGCCCCTCATTTTCCTCTCCCCTCCTTTTTGCCCTCTGTCCTTGCAACAACCCCCTGAAAAAAAATTTAAAAGTAAAACAAAAAAACCAAAGCACAAAACCAAACCAACCAAACAAACAAACAAAAACCAGTAAAAAATTCTCTCCGTGGAAGCTGTAGTGTGGCCCAGTGAGTCACACAGTAAACCCTTTTGTCCACACATCTTCACTTGCAAGTGTTCATTGCAGTAAGTCATTGGTCTGGTTTGAGCCCTCTGGCTTCTGCTGCACCCCTGATACTGGGCTCTCACTGGACTCCTCTTGGGTATCCTATTGTTGTGTCTTGGAGATCCTGCAGTTATGAATCTGAATGCAGAGCTCCTTCTCATGCAGCAGCAGTTCATAGATGAGGTGGATGTTGGCATGGGCTCCTGGGTTGGTCATCTCTCCAGCTTTCCCTCATTGTCCCCACCAAGGTGAGCTCTCTGGCACTGCCCCAGCTAATCACCCAGTGCAGCAGACAGCAGGGGAGCAGGGCCAGTTCTCCTGCTCTGATACCCTCGGGTCAGGTTCACCTACATTCACACCACCAGGGCTAGCATACAGTTTTGCCCAGGTGAGGTGCAGAGTCAGCTCTCCAGATTGCTGCACTTGGTGAGGAGCAAGGCCAGCTTTTCCATCCTTGTGACCCTGGGGAGGGGGCAGGGATATCTTTCCTGCTCTCACGTGTACAGGCGTGGCTCACCTGTGCACCTGCCAACAGGATCAGCTCTAGTGTGTCTCCAGGCAAGGTGCCCTGCCCACTCTCATGTGCTACAGCTGGTCAGGGGTAGGGCCATCTCTCCCACTCTCAGTGTCCCTGGGGCCAGCTCTCTCACCTGCTGCAGGTGGTAAGGGGTGAGGGTAGAGAGGGCATGTTACCACACCCATGTCACCACATGGCAGATGACTGGGGACAGGGTCGGTCCTCCTGCTCTCACGCCGCTGGGCCAGCTCACCTGGGCCCCTGACAACAGGGTCATCTCTACTGTGGTGCTTGGGAGAGGTGCAGGGCCTCTAGCCATGAGGGGCTGGGGCCAGCTCTGTGCAGCCCTATCCTTACTGATTTCAGTGATAATAAGAGCCACAGACAAAAACAGACTGAGGCTGTGGCTGGGCCACAGACCCAGACATCATTCCTGGCCTGGATAACACTATGGCTCTGGGTGGCAGTGCAGGCTACTCAGATCTGCATGGGCCCAGCAGAGGACCAACCCTTGGACAGTAGTCCGTCTCTGTGTGGTGGCCCAGGCCGTTGATATCCTCGTGGCCCTTAGTGACACTATGGGCCATGTATATCAATATAGAACCCAGCTGTGGTTGGACCATGGACCCAGACATGGCCCTTGGAAGCAGTCCAGGCCAGATATCACCATGGTTCCCATGTTGGCAGTGCTGGTCACTCAGATTGGCATGGACCCAACAGCAATGTGGTCCTTGAACCACCACATAGCCTCAGGTGTGGACCCAGATTCTGGGCATCCATATGGCCTTTGATGGCAACAGCATCCTCAGACATCAATGCAGACCCTGGCTGAGGCAGGGCCACTGACCCAGACATCAACATGGTCACAGGTACTAGCCCAGACTCCACATGTCCACAGGGCCCTCAGTAATAACAGCAACCATGGACATCAACGTAGACTTCCACAGCTGCATCACGGCCATGAACTAAGTGATGGCCCTTGGTATCAGCCCAGACCCAGACATCTCCATGTCACTGGGTGTCCAGCAGGGCATCTAAATCAGCTCATTCCTCACTGTCTCTTCAGATCTGTTTCCAGCACATGATCTGTGCTGCCAATGTCACTGTCTCTGTCTTTCTGTGTCTGTCTGTCTGTCTGTCTGTCTGTCTCTCTCTCTCTCCCATTTTGCTACCCGGTACTCACCGTAATGATGACTGACTGCCCTGCCCCAGAGGTCCCTGGCAGGCTTGTGGGTGAATTCTAGGTCTCTGTCCTTGGGGCAGAGCTGTGTTTGTCCTCCACAGCCTGCTAGGGCTAGAAACACCAAGCAGCTCATGGGTGAATTCTTCCCATCTAAGGTCCGTTCAATGAGTTAAAATTTTAATAATAAGCCGGGCGGTGGTGGTGCACGCCTTTAATCTCAGCACTTGGGAGGCAGAGGCAGGCGGATCTCTGTGAGTTTGAGGCCAGACTGGACTACAGAGTGAGTTCTAGGAAAGCCGCAAAGCTACACAGAGAAAGCCTGTCTTGAAAAACAAAAACAAAGCAAACAAAAAAAAATTTAATAATAAAAATTATCTGTAAACACTTAAGGGATCATAACACAATGTAGGAAAACAGCTGTAGATGCAAGTTTTTTAAATCCTGACAAGATTTCTTACATATTTAAGACTCATTTTCTCCATCAGGGAGGTGATTTTGTGACCTATTCTATAAGGCTGTTTGAGGATTAATGAAAATATATGCAGATGCCCGAATATGAGAAAAATTTATTAAGAGGAAGACTTCAGGGTAAGATGTCAGACTAGAGGCTGCTTCTGTGTGAGGTGGTAAAGGAGAGTTAGAAAAATTAAAAAGAAACTTTACAGGAAAGGCACAAAGCTACACAGAGAAACCCTGTCTCAAAAAACCAATCAATCAATCAATCAATCAATCAATCAATCAGTAAAAAGAAACTTTATTCCAGGGGGAATTTCAAGTATTAATTGTCAAAATCCATGCCCACTGGAATTTGAATCATGCCATTATGTGACCTAGATGTTGATACACTGAGCTAGAGGTTTTAATGTCTGATCTTCAGGTTTTCAATCTTGATTTCGTCCTGTCTCTCCTTTCTATGTTCCCATATCACCATTTAGGAACAAGAATGTTCATACTTTGTTATTGTATGTCGGAACTGTATAAAATGTTTTTGTTTTTGAGAGAGAGTTTCTCTGTATAGCTTGTGGCTATCCTGAAACTCACTGTGTAGACCAGGGTGGCTTCAAACTCAGAGAGATCTGCCTGTGTCTGCCTCCCGAGAGTGCTGGGATTAAAGGCATGTGCCATCACTGCCCAGCTATAAATACTTTTTCAATGTTTACAATGGCTCATAGCCAAGAGTTTGCTTTGAGTCTCACAGGAGAATTTTAACTTGACCTTTTGAACAATTCTAGGATTGTTAAGATTAATGGGACTCCTGGAGGAGTCTGAATGGACTGAATATGTGCTTGGGTGTCAAGCTGACCATGGGTAGACCTGTAATGGTCCATCTTCTTTGACAACTTGACTAGATCTTGAATCATCAAAGAATCAATTTTGAGACACATCTTTGGATGTTTCTGTGAATACATTTACCTGGGAGAATGAATGTGACAAGGTCCATGGACTTGGCGGGTTAGAGAGAATAAAAGGGAAACAGGAGGAAGCCAGCGGAGTTCCTGTATTTCCCCCTCTCTGCTTCCTGCCTGACCATGATGTGAAGCTGCTTTGCTTGTTTATGTCCTCCCAGTCATGACAGACTGAACCTCCTGAAGCCATGTGCAAAATGAATTTTTACTTCAAGTTTTCTGATCATTTGTTCATAACAATGAAAAAAGTAACTGACATACAGAGACATTGATCACATGTTACTAATAGATTATTGTCACTAAATCAAATTATATTTATTTGTCACCATTCTTGTTGATTCAGGGAAACATTTCCATTGCTTGGGGGTGGAGTTTGTGTAACTTTCCTGTCATGCTTTTATTATACTCTTGGGGACACAGTAAAGTCACAATCAGGTAATAAGAAATTATCTATTGTGCCTCCCCATGATAGGCCTTGCTTTCTTGTGAGGGAGAGTGGGTGGTGATTGGGAGGAGGAAGCTAGGAGGAGTGGGGAGAGAGGAACCTTTGATTGGTGTGTAAAATGAATGAAATTTTTTCTTAATTAAAAAAAAATACCAAAAAGAGAAACCTGTTTTTAAAGAACACAACAGCATCACAACTGACAATGGAGAAATTACATAGACTCTTAACTCTCTTAAACAATATCTTATTAAAATCTAGTTGCTTCAGTTTGGAGGAGTGGTTGTGACAGCCTCACTAAGTTATTTTTTGGTAAGCTATTCTATTGTCTTTAAGACCTACTGCTGAAAACACTGTGAATATATAGATAACTCCACAAATGTAACAAAATAATGTATATAAAATCCTTGTCCCTATGACAAGAAAACAATAGCTGTCTGCTTGAACATGTAATATATTAAAATAGAGGAACGGCATTTCTGAATAGCTGTTATATAAATAAAATGGAATGATGCAAAAATAAAAAAAATCCAGGAAATTATCCATGCTCAAGGAATGAGTAGCTAGGGAAGGCCAAATCAAGAGATCTTTAGATCATGAGTATGAAATGCTTTGTTATATTTTCCACTGAAAGCCATAGCAGTGAACTCATGTACTTTGCATTAAGACTCGGTGCCTCCTCTGGGGCACCCCATTGGGAATCAGGTAATGACACATTTCCTGAGCCCTCACTCTGAGATGCCCACAATTCCTACACTCTCTGCATGTAGCTAGAACATACCATCTTCCCAAGCCTTCTTTACAATGTTGTGATATAAGGCAACTTTCATTCTCTGACACTGACATAGAAAGAGATCCCCAACCTCTCCAATAGGAAGAGACTAAAACTCCGAGGTCTACTGAAGGCTGTTTACTAGTGACCAATGGTCCTAGAACAGACTATGAAAGCTCTAACAGAAAAATGAGCTGGTCCTTCTTCCCCATCTTACCCGGAGTCTGTGCCTTTTCCTAGCACCTTCCACAGAGCCCCCTTCACATCCTTGTTCCTCAGGGTGTAGATCAGAGGGTTGAGCATGGGGGTGATGATAGTATAAAAAAGGGCAACAAACTTTCCATCACTCTCTGAATAGCTGCCCTTGGGCTGTAAGTATGTGTAAATGGCTGAACCATAAAACAGAAAAACCACCAGGAGATGGGACCCACAAGTTCCAAAAGCCTTTCTGCGCCCAGCTGTTGACTTGACCTTCAGCACCGCCCTGGCAATCTGTGCATAGGAGCCCAGGATGAGCACAGCTGGAATTGCAACAATCACCACTCTGGCCACAAACATCTTGGCCTCTGTCCCTTCAGTGTCTTCACAGGCCAACTTGAGGAACACAGGCATCTCACAGAAGAAGTGGTTCAGTCGACGGCCACAGAGGGGCATGGTCACCATGAGGCTTATCTGGATCAGAGAGTTCACGAGGCCTCCCACCCAGGAGATAATCGCCAATGCCTGGCAGAGAAGGGGGTGCATGATGGTCGTGTAGTGCAGTGGACGGCACACGGCAGCATAGCGGTCAAAGGCCATCACCACCAGGATCAAACACTCAGTGGAGCCCAGAGCAAGAAATATGTACAGTTGGGCCACACACCCACCATAGCTGATGGTCCTGTCAAGTCCATGAAGGTTGATGAGGAGCTGGGGCACAGTGCTGGTGGTGTAGCAGAGGTCCAGGAAGGAGAGATTGGAGAGGAAAAAGTACATGGGAGTGTGTAGTCGAAGGTCCAGTCTTGCAAGAGCAATGATGGTTGTGTTGCCAAAGATAGTCAGGGAGTAGAAAATCAAAATAGTGACAAAAAGGAAGACTTGTAGTTGAGGCCAATCTGAGAAACCCACCAAAATGAAACTCTCTGGTGAACTAGAGTTGTAGTTTCCCATAGCCTTTCAAATTCACAAATACTAAAACTCAACTCACTATTTCCTATAATGAGTATGGATTAAAACACGACTTCCAGTATTCTACAAGTACTCAAAAATCATGCATGTAATCTTCTAATTTGCTATTCCATCCCATCGATCCAGTCTTCTTTCTATTCTGTTCTTCAGATAGGAAAGCTCTGGTTCAAGGTCTTGGGGCACTTGCTAGAACTCCAACCTAGCTGTCTGGATGTTTCCAGATAACTCAGTCCTTTGGGTTCAATGGTTCTTTGTCTGAGGTAGAAATTCTATATTGCTCCCTGACAGCACTGAGATGCAGATCCAAATGCAGTCACTTGGAAACTGCATTACAAAAATCTACTGTTGGCATTTGAAAGCTGCTGGGAGTGGGAGAATCAGTTTTATTTAATAGTATGACCACTATTAGGTTGACCACACACCAGGGCAGTCCCCTCTCTCAAGACTAGATGAAAAACACAAACTGGACTGGATGGGGGAAAGGGAAAAAAGGAAAAAGAAGTCTCAAAGTTGATGGAAGGTAGTGAAGTGAAGGTGGTTATGGGAGGTTTAGGGGAGGTGTGAACATGTTGAAAGTACAGTGTATGAAATTCTCAAAGAACTAATGAATATGTTGATATTATTTTAGGGTTTGTGATACAGATGACTAACAAAGATGTTTTCTAGCATGTGTAAGATCCTATATTCAACCCCAGCACCCAAGACTATTAAAATAAATACATGGATAACATGAAATTACAAAGCATTAGTGCTGTTCTCATTTCTTCCTCATTATGGTTTATGAGGCAGAATTCTGCAAATACCTGAAGATCCAGTATTAACCAGGCTAAGACCACAAAAATCTGCTCCCCCAGTGCTTATCTGCTTTCCTTTGCTGAGTGTACGTGATCCATGTGGCACTCACAGGAGACTCACTCAAGTCAGCAGGTGTCTGTCATAAGAACCGAGAAGAGCACACACCTGTCCCTGTAGGGACACAAAAGGGCTTTTGAGAAGTATGTGGCTTCCCATGTATCACCATGCCTATCGCCATGTGCCCACCTTCATCCCACTGATAAAACCATCTCAACTTCTCAGGAAAAATTTTCTTCTCCTCTCAAGCCAAAATTTCTTTGTATGGTTTCTATCTGTACTTTGAGACTGGTTTTCAGTTAGTAGCACAAGGATTTTGACTGTCTCAGCCCCACGAATGATGCTTATAATGAACTCACTAAGTTATTTTACTCTTCTTTGTCCTCTTGCAAGCTGAGATGCTCCTAGGCACTGAGGAACACAGAAAAAAGGGTAATGTATACAAGAGGCATTGAATTAATTCTAATTTCACTTATGGCATGTAGTAGATATTAAATAACTTGAGTGAAACATTTGACTCTCCTTCCTAATGTCACTAAAATCAGTGTCTTCTAGCAACTTGGAGAGTTAACAATGAGTGCACTTTAAAAAACTATATTAACAGGCTGTGAATAAAAATAACTTCCCCTTATAAGTGGACATTATCATAATTTTAAAAAATCTGAATCGGATCTAGGAAAGCAGAAAAAGATGTTAGTAATCCACAGAACCTTCATCTGTGCTCCACACAAGCAGTTTTGGGAAATTAAGACATTATTCTTTTCACTGGGTCTACTCTACTGGGAGTCGGCTCCAGTGCCCTAGCTGGATATTTGACTACCATGTTTGAAGCCTCTGTGGGAGATGTAAACAAAAGGTGAACTGTGAAACAAAGTGTGAATATACACATAGGTAACCAGGACACCAAAGATGGTTTTGAATGACAATGACAGTTGAGTACTGTCCCAGGCACACCACTACATACGGACTTTATTACCTGTTCTGGAGGCTTGCTTCACATAAGTATAAATCTTGTATATTTCACAGGATTTTGATGGGGATTAAGTGCTGTGAAACATTCTGAAATGAGAAAAAATGGCAGCATGTACTTCTACCAGTGGTCTGTCTACACAGCTAGGCTTTCAGTGTCATATGTTGGGGTCTTTTCCATTTTTCACTCATTTCCTAGTTCATTGCTTGGTGGAAATGGGCTCTCAACCAATGTTGAACTTGTTAATGGGTACTTTACACTTATGGCACCATGCCTGGTACAATAAAAATCTCAAAAATAATTGTTTCCTTGAAATAGGAAAGAATTAACACTTTCATACTGCTTATCAGTTAGTAACACTGAGGATTGTAATTGTTTCCATCCTATCAATGATGTTTCTAATGATATGTTGACAGCTTAATATACTTGAAGTACACAATCAAATCAGTTATGTGAAATAAGCTGGAATCGCAAAGGATCTCAACATAACTAAAGAAGATGCTGTATACCATTAAGTGGCTACCACATACATAAGGCAGAATTTAACTACAAATTTTCAGCTATACAAAAAGAGATGGAAGTGATTAAATTGAAAGCTTTTAAGTCATGTATTTAAAAAGAAGAAAACGAAAATGACCTGGATATATTGACCACAAGGTAAATAAAAACCAGAAGTGGTGACTTAACAATGGCTTTTTACCAAATGCAAGCTGAGGCTAGATTAAAAAAAAGAATACAGAGCTGTGGTTGCTTTGGTTAGAAGTGAACCTGAAACTCATTTTTCCACAGGTGCATCATAGGGTGCACCCCCCACACCTGTACACATTCTTAACCCAGGGCTTGTTCTATGAAACCCGTGTGCATTTCCTCAGCCTTTTATGTCTCTCCCCGCAATGTCCTTCAGTTTCTCCTGATATATTTATGGGTAATTACATTTCTGACTCCTCAGTCTATCATTTCTACTTTTTTCTGGTTAATATCCTTCACTTATTTTCACTCTACCTCATGCCACCAGTTCTGGAAAAGTGTAATTCAGTGTGGTCACTGTGTCTGAAATTAGATCCATAAGTTGACCTATACCATTCAGCCTTTTACTTTTGGTGCCTAGAATAATGACTGGTACATGAAAATCCTCTATAGGTCCTTGACCCTAAAATACTCTCTTACCTAGCTCTTTAGCACTTCCTTAGGGGAACATGATTTCTTGCAGCAATTCCAGTATTGCTTAAAAATTGTGCTGTGACAATATTCTATTTCCTTGAGAACTGTTCTTTTACTTGGAAAGCTAGTGTACAAGGTGAGATACCCAATGCTCGGGAGTTCCAAAGGTGAAGACTTTCCCACCCCATTCTCCATTGCCTTTTTTCTGTATAAGCAAGATCTTGACACAAGTGGCTGCTTATGTGATCCACCTTAGGGGATTTGTACTGCTTTCCAATCCCCAGAGTCCTGCAGAGGGCATGCTGACCGGCCCAACCACAATACCTATGTTCACCCGAAGTGTCCCATTGATCTTGAGACTGATGCCATCAGTTCACAGCTCCCCTGTCTGCACACTGCTCATGTATCTGTTACTCAGGTACCAGTTCCTGCAGTTATGACACCTTACCAGCCACTCACAGAGTTTTTTCCCCACTCTTTCCTTGACTCTGGTAACTGGGGCCTTCTTGATTATATACACGTTCTGAAATCATGAAAAGAAAATCCTCGGGAGCCTTTTGCATCTTTTAAGAACACCTGTAAACTACTCCTCACCTGAATCCAATGATGAGCCTCTGGCAGATTCCGTGTCACACCTAGTCACTTATCTCATCTTTCAGAGTAAATTTGACCTTTTTCACACTGGCTCAGGGACTGGGCGAAATGAGCTTCCTGTGTGAGCCCAGTACACAAAATTTTCTGGTATAATACCAGATAACCAAGGTTTGGGTCCAAACAGTTTGGTAGACAATGACTCCATTGAGTTGATTGTTTTAACAGTGACTTCTGACACAAAATGTCAAATTTTTCTAAGGTCAACTCCCTGTTGAACTCAAATCTTCTACCAAGTCTTCCTTGATTTCACTTCAATTGCTGTTGACCACACTCCTAATTCTTTTCTTTTAACTTTGAAAACCTTTTTTAAATGTTGTGGATAATCAAACTAGTGAGTAGGTGAATGGGTCCTAGAGAAAGATGATTAGTGATTATATGTTCTTGTTTTAATTTAACATTTCTCTATCCTCAATCTAGGTAACCAGCAGAATGAAATCCTGTGTTTATTACATAATGGAATATTTCTTGATTCTGGTTTTAAATTTTGAGACTGGTGTAGGTAGCTCAACCAGTGAGTACTCACTCAGAGTTCCAGGAACAGAAAGCATTGCATTACCATCTTCAATTTTCTTGGTTTCGAAATGATGTGTGATTCATCTGCAGTTAGAGATGTTCTAGGGAGAACTGATATATTTTGTAGGATGCTGGCCTTGCATGAGAGCTCTTGTCTGGAGAACTTACTTACTTTTAATGATTATTCATGACTCCCTTTCCAGGGAAGAATTTTCTCACTGGTGCTCATAACCTAAGGGATGGCAGTGTCTTCCCAATGTACCCTGTAGCCTCCCTTACCAGAGAGACAAGGAAGAAGCTGGAGTATTATCAAACCTCCTCTTAGCTTAGTGCATCACACATACCCTGGGGAAATTGTCAGACTCCTCAGTAGTAGCAAAGAAAAATTGTTTGTCAAGGATGGCCTTGGAGATGTCTGAGTCCCAGTGTGGCAATTACAACTAGTGTATGGGCTCTGTAAGACGTCAAATACAATCTTCAGTTCTCTATATTCCCAACACACTGCCAATCAAATTCTATTGATTGGGAATTCTATATCCCCATAATATGACTTTTTCCCTTTATCAATTTACCCTCTGAGATTCCTCAGACTGCATTTACTTTCATCTCCTTTCTTTTTTTGTCTATTTATTTATTATTTATTTATTTATTTATTTTTCCTTTTATTTTATTTTATTTTATTTTACAATACCATTCAGCTCTACATATCAGCCACGGGTTTCCCTGTTCTCCCCCCTCCCACCCCCTCCCCTTACCCCCAGCCCACCCCCCATTCCCACCTCCTCCAGGGCAAAGCCTCCCCCGAGGACTGAGATCAACCTGGTAGACTCAGTCCAGGCAGGTCCAGTCCCCTCCTCCCAGTCTGAGCCAAGTGTCCCTGCATAAGCCCCAGGTTTCAAACAGCCAACTCATGCAATGAGCACAGGACCCGGTACCACTGCCTAGATGCCTCCCAAACAGATCAAGCCAATCGACTGTCTCACCTATTCAGAGGGCTTGATCCAGTTGGGGGCCCCTCAGCCTTTGG